CATTGTGAAGTTGAGCGGCCCGCCCGACTGCTGGCCCACCACCCGGTAGTTGAGGATGGCTGCAGGCGGCGGAAGGAGGCCATAGGGTGCATGGCAGGCAGGGGAGCGGGGGCGGGAGGGTCAAGGAGGGTACGGAGGCTCACCAGCACGCGGGAGGTGCGGGCCGGCATGCAGGCCCAAAGTCCCCCCAACACATGCAGCCGCTGCCGCAACACGCGCGTGACCTCGCGCTGCGCCGGCGCGCCACGCGGCCTGCTGCCCCCGGCGGCTGCGCCGCAGCGCTGGCTGCCGCCGCCGCCGCCGGCTCACCCGTGTACTCGCCCCCCCTGTCGTCGGGCGTCCACACGATGAGCAGCACGTTGCCCCCGACATTGTTCGCCGCCACGGCGCCGGGCGGGCCGGGCAGCGTGGCGCAGGCCAGGCCGCTCAGCGTGGTGTTGGCGCAGCCCAGCGGCGCGCAGCAGTCGGCGGCGACGGCGCAGGCCGCGTTCTGAGCGGCGCAGGGGGGGCAGGCGGGCATGGTGAAGGGTTCGGAGGCGGCCTCGTAGCCCGCAGACTGGCCATAGGCGTTGGATGCCCAGGCGAAGAACTGGTACTCCTGCCCGCACGCATACTCGGAGGCGTTGAAGGTCAGGGTGGACTGCAGGGCGAGGCGGCACAAGGGGAGGGAGAGGGGAAGGATGGATGGATGCGGGCCCGGCGCGGCGCGCGGGAGCACGAACCGGCGCAGGCCACTGCCGCTCTGCCTCGCGGGCTGGCTTGGGGGCTGGCTGGCTGGCTGGCGCGTCGGTTTCCCCCTGCCTCACCTGCCCAGGGTCGCCTGGAGTCCCCAGGCCGGTGGCCACGATGTCAGGCAGGGATGAGTCCGCAGGCCTGCCCACCACTGTGAAGCTGGTCAGGGCTGCAGGGCAGGCGGGCAGGCAGGTGGGGCAGGCAGCGTGAGGCGTGGCGGGGAGAGGCCAGCAACGCCAGCACAGCGAGGAGGCGGTGCAGCCTGCCGGCCTCCCTACGGATCGCCCCAGCGCCGCCGCTACTGCTGGGCAACACCGGCAGCGGACCCTGGGCCGATTAATGCATGTCTTCGCAGTTTGTTTTCTTGTTTTGTGTTTTTGTTGCCGCTGCCTGCTGCACGCTGCTCACTGCCTGCTGCCTGCCGCACGCTGCCTGCTGCCTGTTGCGCTGCCTGCTGCCTGCTGCCTGCTGCCCGCTGCCGGCAGGCACCCACCGATGTCGGTGCCGCCGCTGTAGCCCCACAGGAGGCGCACGCCCACCGCCTTGGTGTCCTGGTCGGCCACCGACACCTCCAGTATTTTGGGGGGGGCGGGCAGGGCGGCGCAGACCTTGGGGCCGGTGTTAGAGTCGATGCAGCCGGTATCTTGGCAGCAGCTGCAGGGGACAGGGGTGGGTGGGTGGGCGCAGGGGTGGATCCCAGGCGGCAGCAGAGGCAGCAGAGGCTGTGAGTAGCCTGCTCTGCCGTGCATGCGCCACTGCTGCTGCCCGCGAGTAGCGGCCAGGCTGGGCTGGGCGAGGCAAGCGCGTGTGCCGGCCGGTGCTCAAGGCCGCAGGCGCTGCTTTTTTGGCGACTCACGGAGCGGGAGGAGGTGGCGGGGCGGGAGGATCGGGGCTTGGTGGTGGCGGGCTCGGTGGCGGTGGGGAGGGAGGAGGAGGTGAGGGAGGAGGAGGGGAGGGCGGTGGTGGGGATGGCGGTGGCGGGGAAGGAGGCGGTGGGGAGGGCGGTGGCGGGGAGGGGGAGGGCGGGGTGGGAGGGCTGGGAGGGCTGGGAGGCCTGCAGGCACCAGGCAGCACACGCACTCGGATGCTGGGTGTTGCAGCACAGCGTGTTGCGTTGCCAGAGGTCGGGGCAACAGACAAACACTGCGGTGTGCCATCACGCCAGGGCAGGCAGGGCGGGCGGGCAGCTGGCGATGTAGCGTGCAGCGATGCAGTGCCATGCGGGCCCACGCATGGCACATCAGGTGGTGTGGTGCGGTGCGGTGTGGTGTGGTGTGGTGTGGTGTGGTGTGGTGTGGTGTGGTGTGGTGTGGTGTGGTGTGGTGTGGTGCGGTGTGGCGGGGTGTGACGGGGTGTGACTGGACACGGGTGGGGCGTGTCACCTGCGCCCCCCCACTTACGAGAAGCATTCGGGCATCTGGTAGGCGAGCAGCTTGTTGTACGGCAGGTACTGGGCGGACTGGCCATAGGCGTTGGAGGCCCAGGCAAAGAACTGGTACTCCTGGCCGCACACATAGTCGGAATAGTTGAAAGTCAGCACCACCTGCAGGCAGGCAGGCAGGCACGGCGAGGGAGGGAGGGGAGCGGCGGCATTGAGCCGAGCTCGCGCGGCCTCCGGCGGTCGCGCGCCACGTGTGTGCGG